GATAAAATGGTGGAAATAAATGGTGGGGAGTAGAATAAAGAAAAAAGAATGAAAAGAATTGAGGATACTCTCAGAGACCTCTGGGAGAACATTAAACGCACCAACATTTGAATTATAGGGGTCCCAGAAGAAGAAGGGAAAAAGAAAGGGACTGAGAAAATATTTGAAGAGATTACAGTCAAAAACTTCCCTAACATGGAAAAGAAGATAGTCAATCAAGTCCAGGAAGCACAGAGAGTCCCATACAGGATAAACCTAAAGAGAAACACGCCAAGACACATATTAATCAAACTATCAAAAATTAAATACAAACAAAAAATATTAAAAGCAGCAAGGGAAAAGCAACAAATAACATACAAGGGAATCCCCATAAGGTTAACAGCTGATCTTTCAGCAGAAACTCTGCAAGACAGAAGGGAGTGGGAGGACATATTTAAAGTGATGAAAGGGAAGAAACTACAACCAAGATTACTCTGCCCAGCAAGGATCTCATTCAGATTGACAGAGAAATCAAAAGCTTTACAGACAAACAAAAGCTATGAGAATTCAGCACCACCAAACCAGCTTTACAACAAATGCTAAAGGAACTTCTCTAAGAGGGAAACACAAGAGAAGAAAAAGACCCACAAAAACAACCCCAAATCAGTCATGAAAATGGTAATAGGAACATACATATCGAAAATCACCTTGAATGTAAATGGATTAAATGCTCCAACCAAAAGACAGAGACTGGTTGAACGGATACAAAACCAAAATTCTTATATATGCTGTCTACAAGAAACCCACTTCAGACCTAGGGACACATACAGACTGAAAGTGAGGGGATGGAAAAAGATATTCCATGCAAACGGAAATCACAAGAAAGCTGGAGTAGCAATACTCATATCAGATAAAATAGACTTTAAATTAAAGACTGTTACAAGAGATGAGGAAGGACACTACATAATGATCAAGGGATCAATCCAAGAAGAAAATGTAACAATTATAAATATTTATGTACCCAACAAAGGAGCACCTCAAAATACATAAGGCAAATGCTAACAGCCATAAAAGGAGAAATTGACAGTAACACAATAATACTGGGGGACTTTAACACCCCACTTACACCAATAGATCATCCAGCCAGAAAATCAATAAGGAAACACAAGCTTTAAATGACACAATAGACCAGACATACTTAATTGATATTTTTAGGACATTACACTTGAAAGCGGAAAAATACACTTCTTCTCAAGTGCACACGAACGTTCTCCAGAATAGACCACATCTTGGGCCAAAAATCAAGCCTTGGAAAATTTAAGAAAATTGAAATCGTATCAAGCATCTTTTCCGACCACAACGCTATGAGTTTAGATATCAATTACAGGAAAAAAACTGTAAAAAACACAAATACGTGGAGGCTAAACAGCACGCTGCTAAACAGCCAAGAGATCATTGAAGAAATCAAAGAAGAAATAAAAAAATACCTAGAAACAAATGACAACGAAAACACAACGATCTAAAAACCTATGGGATGCAGAAAAAGCAGTTCTAAGAAGGAAGTTCAGAGCAATTCAAACTCACCTCAAGACACAAGAAAAATCTCAAATAAACAATCTAACCTTACACCTACAGCAATTAGAGAAAGAAGAACAAAGAAAACCCAAAGTTAGTAGAAGGAAAGAAATCATAGAGACTTCACTGGTGGCACAGTGGTTAAGAATCCGCCTGCCAATGCAGGGGACACTGGTTCAAGCCCTGGTCTGGGAAGATGCCACATGGCACGGAGCAACTAAGCCTGTGCACCACAACTACTGAGCCTGCACTCTAGAGCCCGCAAGCCACAACTACTGAAGCCTGCGTGCCACAACTTGAAGCCCGTGTGCCTAGAGCCCATGCTCCGCAACAAGAGAAGCCACCACAATGAGAGGCCCAGGCACCGCAACAAAGAGTAGCCCCTGCTCGCCACAACTAGAGAAAGCCTGCACACAGCAACAAAGACCCAATACAGCCAGAAATAAATAATAAATAAATACAATTAAAAAAAAAATTCAATACCCATTTATGATAAAAACTCTCCAGAAAGTGGGCATAGAGGGAACCTTCCTCAACCTAACAAAAGCCATATATCACAAACCCACAGCGAACATCATTCTCAATGGTGAAAAACTGAAACCATTTCCTCTAAGGTCAGGAACAAGATAAGGATGTCCACTCTCGCCACTATTATTCAACATAGTGTTGGAAGCCCTAGCCACAGCAATCAGAGAAGAAAAAGAAATAAAAGGAATACAAATTGGAAAAGAAGATGTAAAACTGTCACTGTTTGCCGATGACATGATACTATACATAGAAAATCCTAAAGATGCCACCAGAAAACTACTAGAACTAATCAATGAATTTGGTAGGGTGGTAGGATACAAAATTAATGCACAGAAATCTCTTGCATTCCTATACAGTAACAATGAAAGATCAGAAAGAGAAATTAAGGAAACAATCCCATTTACCATTGCAACAAAAAGAATAAAATACCTAGGAATAAACCTACCTAAGGAGGCAAGAGACCTGTAATCAGGAAACTATAAAACACTGATGAAAGAAATCAAAGATAACATAAACAGATGGAGAGATATCCATGCTCCTGGATTGGAAGAATCAATATTGTGAAAATGGCTGTACTACACCCAAAGCAATCTACAGGTTCAATGCAATCCCTATCAAATTACCAATGGCATTTTTTACAGAACTGGAACAAAAAATTTTACAATGTGTATGGAAACACAAAACACCCTGAATAGCCAAAGCAATCTTGAGAAAGAAAAACAGAGCTGCAGGAATCAGGCTCCCTGACTTCAGACTATATATATACTACAAAGCTACAGTAATCAGGACAGTATAGTACTGGCACAAAAACAGAAATATAGATCAATGGAACGGGATAGAAAGCCGAGAGATAAACCCACGCACATATGGTCACCTTATCTTTGATAAAGAAGGCAAAAATATACAATGGAGAAATGACAGCCTCTTAAATAAGTGGTGCTGGGAGAAATGCACAGATACATGTAAAAGAATGAAATTAGAACACACCCTAACACCGTACACAAAAATAAACTCAAAATGGATTAAATAAGGCCAGACACTATAAAACTGTTCGAGGAAAATACAGGCAAAACACTATATGACATAAATCACAGCAAGATCCTTTTTGACCCATCTCCTAGAGTAAGGGAAATAAAAACAAAAATAAACAAATCGGACCTAATGAAACTTCAAAGCTTTTGCACAGCAAAGGAAACCATAAACAAGACGAAAAGACAACCCTCAGAATGGGAGAAAATATTTGCAAATGAAACAATGGACAAAGGATTAATCTCCAAAATATATAAGCAGCTCATGCAGCTAAATATCACAAAACCAAACAGCCCAATTCAAAAATGGGTGGAAGACCTAAATAGACATTTCTCCAAAGGAGATATACAGATGGCCAACAAATACATGAAAAGATGCTCAGCATCACTAATCATTAGAGAAATGCAAATCAAAACCACAATGAGGTATCAGCTCACACTGGTCAGAAAGACCATCATCAAAAAAATCTAGAAAAAATAAGTGCTGGAGAGGGTGTGGAGAAAAGGGAACCCTCCTGCACTGTTGGTGGGAATGTAAACTGACACAGCTACTATGGAGAACACTATGGAGTTTCCTTAAAAAAACTAAAAATAGAACTACCATATGACCCAGCAATCCCACTACTGGGCATATACTCTGAGAAAACCATAATTCAAAAAGAGTCATGTACCACAATGTTCATTGCAGCACTATTTACAATAGCCAGGACATGGATGCAACCTAAACGTCCACTGACAGATAAATGGATAAAGAAGATGTGGCACATATATATAATGGAATATTACTCAGCCATAAAAAGGAACAAAATTGAGTTATTTGTAGTGAGGTGGATGGACCTAGAATCTGTCATACAGAGTGAAGTAAGTCAGAAAGAGAAAAACAAATACCATATGCTAATGCATATGTATGGCATTTCAAAAAGTGGTACTCATGAACCTAGTGGCAGGGCAGGCATAAAGACACAGATGTAGAGAATGGACTTGAGGGCACAAGGGGGGAAGGGTAAGCTGGGACAAAGTGAGAGAGTGGCATGGACTTATATATACTACCAAATGTAAAGTAGATAGCTAGTGGGAAGCTGTTGCACAGCACAGGGAGATCAGCTCGATGCTTTGTGACGACCTAGAGGGGTGGCATAGGGAGGGTGGGAGGGAGGCGCAAGAGGGAGGGGATATGGGGATATATGTATACATATAGCTGATTCACTTTGTTGTACAGCAGAAACAAACACAACACTGTAAAGCATTTATACTCCAATAAAGATGTGAAAAAGAAAGAAGTATATAAAGATCATTATTCTATTTGGGAAGTCAATTATGCAAGAAGATCTTCAGAATATCTTTAGATTTCATCTGATTAATTTTCAGTGCTGATGAGATTATGGAAAATCCATAACTCTCACAAAATACTGGTAGTAGGATAAACTGATACAACTCTAAGAACAGACTTTAAGAGCCACAAAATTTTTCACTGTACTTACCTGAATAACTCTATAAATGCACAACAGAAACAAAAGGAAAATTTATTTGCACAAAAATGTTCATTATTCTTTTCATTATAATGGAGATAAATGAAAAACAATTTAAATAATGAATTATAGTTTTGTAATCTCAATGGACTATTATAGAGCTATTAAAGTTATTATATTGACTACAGCAGTAGAAATACACGCTATTTTTTAAAAACTATATTTACACTGGGATTACAATTATGTAAAAACTATATATTTACATATATACTAAAAACACAACTGGAGTTTATATTTTTGAATGATCTCTGATACTGAAATAAATGTTTTATAAAAAGTAGTTTTAATCAGATGAATATATTGCACAAGACATTCAATTATAAATTAAGATTTCAATAACATATTTCAAAACGTCAAATACCTTTGGGTAAACTTCAAATATGGTGTATAGTCTATTACAGCAGGAAAGTTGCCATCTAATCCTTCTCCCTTCAGGCAGAAGCTAAGACAATAGACAGTAAATATATTAATACATTAAAATTTAAATCAAAGTGTTATAAACAATCTCTTGTTAGAGACATTTGTTTCATCAAATTGCAGGTGAATTTCTTATTTGTAATTTAAATGTGACTTGTTATAAACACCTCATAAAGATATTCTACCTTCCATATCAATAACAAAGGCTTGTATGAGTTAATAACACTGTTACGTAAATATATCATGCAAAAGTAAAATTTACTGAGAAATCTGTTCAAACATTATTTATTTCATACTATCCTCGTCTTTATTAAATTCTTAAGACATCGCTAGAGAATTTTCAGATGAAGCCTTGTTGTTCACATTTACAAATTCTCAGGTGACACTTAATATCTCCTAAAAAGAAAATCTCCTAATTAGAAAAAAATTCATGGGGCTTCCCTGGTGGCACAGTGGTTGAGAGCCCGCCTGCCAATTCAGGGGACGTGGGTTTGAACCCTGGTCCGGGAAGATTCCACATGCCACGGAGCAGCTGGGCCCGTGTGCCACAGCTGCTTAGCCTGTGCTCTGGAGCCCGCAAGCCACAACTACCAAGCCCGCCTGCTACAACTACTGAAGCCTGCGCGCCTAGAGCCCGTGCTCTGCAACAAGAGAAGCCACCTCAATGAGAAGCCTGCGCATTGCAAGGAAGAATAGCCCCTGCTAGCCGCAACTTGAGAAAGCCCACAAGCGGCAACGAAGACCCAGTGCAGCCAAAAATAAATAAATACAATTAATTAATTAAAGAAAAAAGAAAAAAATTCATATATGAACTACTACCTTCTGGTTTCTTTGGGAAATGTGCCTGTTGAAATACTTGTTCTAATATGTTAATATCAAGGGTGCAGTATGTATTTTTCCAGAATTGACTAAGGAAAGAATCAAAGTGGCAACATTTTACATGGGCTTTCCTTCATTTATAGAAACATTACTAATGCATCTTTAAGACACTTTCTTTCTATACATTATCAATGGGTTACAATAAGCCAAGAGTTTAGATTCTTAACCCAGTTTTTTTTTTTCCAACCAAAAAATAAATGAAGTTGTAAAGTATTTGGACAGAGCCAGCAACATGCCATGTAAAAAGTTAACACCTTTAGAGGGATCATAAAGACAACCTTCAAAACTGCATCTATCACATTCATCATAAAGAATTAAGCTAATTAACCCAATCCCACTTATCAAATTTTAAATAGAGGAAAGTTACACTTACAAAGTGAAAAGTATTTTGAAAAAGAAGTGAGTTACTAGAAAAAGTTAACCTCAGTGAAACTGGGTAGCATTATTTTTTAGTTCAAAAAATGAACTAAAAATGAAAACTAGATTTTCATTTAAGTTTTATACTTATTTGTTAACATTCTTGTGATATATTTTAAGTGATATATTTAATGATATATTTAAGTGATATATTTCAATAAAAATATAGGGCTTCCCTGGTGGCGCAGTGATTGAGAGTCCAGCTGCCGATGCGAGGGACATGGGTTCATGCCCCGGTCCGGTAGGATCCCACATGCCACGGAGCAGCTGGGCCCGTGGGCCATGGCTGCTGAGCCTGCGCGTCCAGAGCCTGTGCTCCGCAACGGGAGAGGCCACAGCAGTGAGAGGCCCGCATACCATAAATATATATATATATATATATATATATATATATATATACACACATATATATATATGCATATATATAATACTTCCTTCATTCTCATGTTTCAGTTCTTATTCTAGACAAACCTTTTACTTTTAGTACAATGTAAAATCTTAGATCAATTAAAGAAATGCAAAAGGATGCTGCCATCAACCTAAAAAGAACTTACAACGTCCATTTTTAGTACGTGTAATCTTATTCTGAAATCAATTCATCTTGTTGATAATAAAAGCAAATATTAACAAAATGTTTAATATTTTAGATACAAAACAAGAAACATAACATACCTAAGATAGCCTGTCAATATCCTCTTTATCTCACCACATGAGACAATGAAAATCTTTCTGGATTTGAATCTTCTTTTAGTGTATTTCTTTTTCATTTTAAAGCAGTAGTTGAAAAATACTAAGAGATGAGATCCAAAACCTTCCTTCAGTGCTACCAGAGCGCATGACTTCTCTGCTTGGCAGGATGTGGTCCAAGCTTTCTTTTTACCCAAACTAGAGAGTAAGGTTGTCAGTTCATTCCCTAAGTTTGAGACAGCCTCTTTTTTGAGAGCAAACCTATTTAGAAAACTGATCTCATTCGAAAGGGAACAACATAAATCAAATCAATACCCAATTGTGTGCTTTACTTAGAAAACTGAAAGAAAAGAATCATAAGTAGAAACTATTACGAGGTAGAATAATTTTAAGTCATAATGCATATAGTTAGATGAAATACCTGAAATCAATAGCATTGAGTCCAAGCAGCATGCCAGCAAGCATATTTGCTTCCTCGCCCAAGACAATTGCTCCATCTTCATAAAATCTCCTAAAAAATGAAATGGGTGAACACATAAATATTAAAAACTGACTGAAGTTTCATCTACAGAAATCACTTAGAGCCCAAGCTCAAGTAGAAAGAAATAAATTTTATTTAATTTGTCACAACAAGAACAAACTTGGATCACTCAAGTCTTGCAGATACTTAGAAAAAAAAGCTGCCACTGTAACAAAGAAAATCATTCTAAGTGCTTATACCTCTCTTAAAAAGAATCCCCAAAGTGACTCATTCAAGGGGTCTACAGTGTCTAGCATTTTTCTCTAAGAGTGAAGCAATATAAATGTCAACTGAAAGGTGGTAAATTCACAGTCATTTATACTGGTCTATTTTCAATACTAGGTAGATTATTATTCTATACATAGAACAAACACAAACACACATTCTGTTCTTCTGTAATTCCAAAGGTTATTAACTAATTAAGAACTAGGAAGGTGTGATTAATAGTAATTTATGCTAACCTTTAACACTACAATACTAATAGGGCAGATGGGCTAGCAGGGTGGCTGCCTATGAAAAAAAAATATTCATCATATCTTTGACAAAAAGTGAATATGAATCTATTTTGCTAATTCCTTGAAAGCTTTCTGTTTTGGTCAATGTTAATTTTTAAAATACCAAAGTTTTATTTTAAAATATTTAAAATAAATATTTTGAAAAAAATATTATTTAATATGGGCTTAAGGTATTTTTCCACAAAAGAATGTAAGATCATTGAATTTACTTCTTCTTAAGAATAATAGTATGCAAAAACTAGTTTATGTCCAGTAACAGGGATAATTAAATTGTTATAACTATTTATATTACACATAGTCAACACCACTCTGTAACACCCCACTAACTAAAAGTTTCTTATTAAAGGAAATTTGTCTTGCTCTTTTCCATATTCATGAGTTTATAAAGGCTGCATGTAAAGTTTATAATACTAGCATCAATACTGAAACAGTCCACAGTTTACCAAATACTTTTACAATCATACTATTTAATAATTGCAAAGCCCATGAAGTAAATGCTGAAGGAATTGTCATTCATTTCAAATTCACCACCAAGAAGTGAGTCAGGTTAAAACAATTTGCCCAAGCTTATGTGGATAAACTTATCAAGGAGGAAAACCAATCCTTCTTACTTTAAGTTCTACATATTTTCTATTAAACCATAATACTTCTTTTAAAACAAAAATATTTAAAGAGAATTTAACCTCTGTTATGGACCTTAAGGAATTTTACATGAATAAAAAGTACAAAGAAAAATAAGAGACTATTTACCCTCTGACAGATGTAAGGCTGCCAACAAACATGGTGGGAAGACTAGCTTGGATTAGATGTTTTCTGTTTCCTTGGAAATATGGGAATTGTTTTCATTCATTTACATAAAAGGAGAAAAACTAAAAGTTCCAGCCTAACAAAGATTAGTAAAATAAATGGAAGTAATTTCTACATATTCAACTGACGTGTTCCACAAAAAGGTAATCTAAGATATATAGATTTGTCTAAAAGATATTTAGACAAATCTATATATCTGAGATCTTGTCCCTGCCCCAATGGCTAAATCGGCTGTTGATTGAATATTTTAAAAACTCCTGGAAGAACTATGATTCCAGTGGTTCTAGACCACCACATTCTATGGGACACAGATGTTTGTTCTGGCTTTTGACACTGGCAATCACCCATTATTCCTAGTACTTCCCTATATAAGAAAAGGTCTACTTTTATTTGCCACCTTGAGCCCACCATGTTTTAAAGTACATTCTAGGAGTCAGATCAAAACTATTCTTGTTTGTTCCCTAATGTTAATATTATATTATGAACTAATGAAAAATACCTGAAACAAAAACTAACTGGTTTTTAGAAAAAATTTTAAGCCTAAAGGTCATTTATGTGTGTGTATATCATGTTGTTTTACTGAGGTTTTTTGGCTTTTGTTTTACTATTGATTTTTTTTTTTTTTTTTTTTTTTTGCGGTACGCAAGCATGTGGGATCTTCTTGGACCGGGGCACGAACCCATGTCCCCTGCATCGGCAGGCGGACTCTCAATCATTGCGCCACCAGGGAAGCCCTACTATTGATTTTTTTAAGCTTACCTATATAAGTGAAGTGCTTGCTATACGTGTAATCAATAATTCCACTCAAATAAAACCAAGCATGAAGCATAATGCTGCAAAGACCTGATTTAATTTAACAGTCTTCACTGCAACAGAGGGGAAGGGAGGAAAAATGGAAGAGGAAAGGCTAGTTAAGAGAATTGTCCATTGTATGCTAAACTTTTCACTATTAGTCCTGGTTAAAAAAAAACAAAAAATTTTCAGTAACTGTACTTCTAACTTTGAGATAACAAATTTTTAAAATAATATTTAAAAGAATACTAAGTGATCTGAAAAAGATTATATTTCTATCATTTAATCAAAGACTTAATTAATCAAAGACAACACACTCATTCATGTATATTAGAGAGGCAGAAGCTATTAGGAAAAATTAATTTTATATTTCCTTAATCAAACCAACATATCAATAATTTTGACTGAAAATGTGATTCCTATTATCAATATTTTCAAAGACTTCTAAAGACTGTAAGCTTTCAATTTCTTCATTTTATCTCATAGAAAAATTGGAACATTAAAAAAGTTTGCTTATATAACCAAGATTATGTAACCAATGAGCCAAGAGCAAAGCCTAAGATGACTAATCCAATAATAGTAAGGTATATACTAAAAAAATTCCCTTTTTTTTGTTGAAAATATTTTTTGTTCTAAAGAAAATATTTTTATGAGCAGGATCTAACAAAAAGAGCATACTGACTTGCAAAAATGTATTATAAATATTGAAAGTACCAAGGTGAAAAATATATTAAATACTTCTGCTTAAAGATTTATATAGTAGACTGTATCTTTAAAGAAGTTTTGTATTTTAGAAGCAAAGGAAAACTGTGAGCAGCTATTTGATATTACTGTGGTCTGGAAGAAAAGCTCCCACTTTCTATTAGGTATACTCTTTCCAATTATTTGTATATTGACTAGAAATATATTAGAAACTAGAAAAGTATTTAAAATAATACCCTAATAAGAATAATACTCTTTTTATTAACACATATAATTTAATTTTAGTTGAAACATGTGTCTATAATGCCATCCTTAGTGTTCATTCTGAAAGACTATTTTAAGGCCTTTCAGGTACTTCAATAACAAATATCCTTTGGGTGGGATCCAAAGTGAACAACCAGAATAGATGATGTTGATATTGCACAATATCATGCTTCAAAATTTCCTTTTTTGAGTCATAAATTATTCCACACACTAAAAGTGCAATATTAAAATATGAGGAAGCTTATCTTATAAACCAAAGAAATTTCTTTATCAACATCTTGTTCTCTTCCCCAGTTTAGCCCTTACATAAGAAACTTGAAGGGAGGAGATAAAGAAGATTCTCCCTCATGACATACAAAACAAATTACAGCATTATAAAGAAATGATCTATTCTAAGTCAAATGGAATCAGAATGAAAAACTGGCCAAAAAATCTCCAAAAGGTCTTGCTAAGAATGTGAGATTCTTTAATTATTTTTATCAATAAGTACATAATATAGCAAGAACTGTGTTGTATCCTATAGATAAAATGGTGAACAAGGTAAACATGACCCCTCTTTATGGAGCTTATAGTCTAGGGGAGAGGACAGGCTGAAAAAAGATAATCAGAGATGGTAAGTAGTATAAAGTAAATAAATAAGTTGTTGAGGTAGAGAAAAATTAAAGGAGAACCCAACTTTGAAGAAAGTCATTAGGAAAGACATTCTCAAGTGTTTAGTCTGAGACCTTAGGCCCAGAGAAGTTTGATCACACAGGGCTCTGTAGGCCACATAACATTAACAATAATTGTAAACATTTACTGAGTGCCAGGCACAGTTATAAGTGCTTTACATGAATTATCTTGCTTAACTTTACCACCAAATACTATGCCATGGAGGGAGTAAGCAATTTACCCAAGATTCCACAGCCAGAAAGTGGCAAATCCAGGGTCTGACTCCAGGGAATGTATTTGCAGAGCCTGCAGGCTAAAGTAATGAGAAACCATTTCAATGTTTAAAGTGGGAATTGACAGGATCCCTTTTACTTTTAAGAAGAATGGCTGGAAGCTGGGTGGCTACTGGGAGGGGGCAAACTGGAATCTCAGCTGGGAGAGTAGGGGAGTATAAGCAAGAGATGAGAGAGGTATGCATTACTCTTGCAGCCATGGCGATAAAGGTAAATGGGTAGATTCCAGATAGATTTTGGAGATAGGATCGAAAAGAGTTGCTACTGGAACGACTGGAAAGAATGAAGGAGAGGGTCTTCCCTGGTGGCACAGTGGTTAACAATCCATCTGCCAATGCAGGGGACACGGGTTCGAGACCCGGTCCGGGAAGGTCCCACATGCCGTGGAGCAACTAAGCCCGTGTGCCACAACGGCTGAGCCTGCGCTCTAGAGCCTGCGAGCCACAGCTACTGAGCCTGCGCGCCTAGAGCCCGTGTTCCGCAACAAGAGAAGCCACCGTGATAAGAAGCCCGCGCACTGCAACGAAGAGTAGCCCCCGCTCGCCGCAACTAGAGAAAGCCCTCGTGCAGCAACGAAGACCCCATGAAGCCAGAAATAAATTTGTATTTAAAAAAATGAAGGAGAAAGAGGAATCAAATATGAATTTCAGATTCTGACTTCGTCAGCCATGTAAGTAGGGCAGCGAAACCATTTGCCAAGAAGTGGGTCAACAGGGTTGTAGGATGGGGTGCGGCACGGAATCAAGAAATCTGAACTATCTAGCTAGAGGTTTAAATGTGGTGCCACCACCATATAGCTGGTATTTAAAGTTCCAGGGAGATGGATGAAATTCTGAGAAGAGAAAGAAGAGCAGACAACAGAGGACTGAGCCCAGAGAATACTGACACTACAAAGCTGTGAAAAGTAAAAGAAGCCTGAGAAAGAGCAATTACAGAGGGAGAAAGAAAAGCCAGGGAATGCTATATA